CCCTGCTGCTGCTGCTGCTGCTGCTGCTGCTGCTGCTGCTGGTAGTGCAGGTCCCGCGGCAGCAGCGCCAAAACGTCCACTTCAGAAGGCCCATTATTCGCCACCGACAGCACCGCCGTTATGAGGCCCCCCTGCCTCCCCTGGCCCAGGCAGCTGACGCTGACCTGCAGCAGCAGCAGCAGCAGCAGCAGCAGTTAGATGAGCGGGAATTTCTGGAAACAAACAAAATCAAGATGTTACCTGCAGCGGAGGGCGCACTGGCAGCTGACACTCAGCCCCAAACTGAGACCAAACTGCGGGGCCCCGGGACCCAGCAACGTGCCTGCAGCAGCAGCAGCAGGAATAGTAGCAGCAGCAGCAGGAATAGAAGCAGCAGCAGCAGGAACAGAAACAGCAGCAGGAATAGCAGCAGCAGCAGCAGGAACAGAAACAGCAGCAGGAATAGCAGCAGCAGCAGGGACAGCAGCAGCACCGGCAGGAACAGCAGCAACAGCAGCAGAAATAGCAGCAGAAGCACCAGCAGCAGGAATAGCAGCAGTGGCAGCACGAAAAGCAGCAGCAGCAATAGCACGAAAAGAAGCAGCAGCAGCAGGAACAGCGACACCAGGACCACGAGCAGCAGCAACAAGGCCGCGAATATGCAGCAACCCAGTGGGTTACATGCAAAGGACAGACGATCAAACCCTAAAACCTAAACCCTAAACCCGAAACCCTAAACCCTAAGGGTCTAAGCACAGTCAGCCCTCACCACTTGAGGCACAGCGGCAGCACCGCCTTGCCCCCTCCCGCGGGGCCCAAGCTTCCTTTGCTGCTGCTGCTGCTGCTGCTGCTGCTGGGGGGCCCCCAGTGGGGGCCCCCATAAGACAAAAAGGCCTCGTCTAGGCGCAGCAGCACGCTGTACTGCTCTTGAGGGCGCAGCGTCACCGGGAGGTCTCCCTGCAGCAGCAGCAGCAGCAACAGCAGCAGCAGCAGCAGCAGCAGCAGCGAGGGCGTATTGCGTATTGCTAGCTTTTGCTGCTCGTGTTGCTGCTCTCAAACAAAGACCCCCAGCCAGTCTGGTGTGGTGGGCTGCACATACAGCTTGCTACATTTCTAGCTAGCTAGCTAGCTAGCCAACTAGCTAGCTAGCTAGCTAGCCAACTAGCTAGCTAGCTAGCCAACTAGCTAGCTAGCTAGCTAGCTACTTGGCCATAGATTGGAAAGCCATCTGGCGGGCTGGCGAGCTAGCTACAGAGCTGCAAGTGGCATGGCTGGCTAGCTAGTCAGTTAGCTAGTCAGCTAGCTAGCTGGCTAGCTAGTCAGCTAGCTAGCTGGCTAGCTAGCCAGCTAGCTAGCTGACTAGCTAGCTGAGTAGCTAGCTAGCCAGCTAGCTAGGTAGCTCCCGCACTGGCTAGCTAGCTCAGTGGGACTGAGCTTTAAGCCTAATTCCACACTTCAGACCCTAAACCCTAAACCCTAAACCCTAAACCCTAAACCCTAAACCCTAAACCCTAAAC